CCCCTTGCCCTTGCTAGAGCGACGTCTCCCACTAGGGGCAGACGCCGCGCCGACCGACTCAAGACCAAGCAGGTCGGCCGCAGCAGCAGAGGCAACAGAGGGCAGCAAGGGGGAAGGAGAGCACCCCTCAAAGATGGGGGTGCGAGGGTCACCACGAGAGGCACCTACAGCGACTATGCTCTTCTCCGCTGCGAGGAGGGCCTTCTCGAGGAGGTCGACGGTGAGAGTGGTGGGACAGACTGCGAGAAAGTGGTCCCTGACTACGCGGAGGGAGTCAGGGAGGCGCGCGACTACGTAGTAGAGAGTGATGTACATGGGGGGGGGGTTCTTAGCGCAGAACTCAGCAGGAAGGGCGGCGCGATAGCGAGTGTCACTAGTGCGGAGGTGCGTAATGAGGTCAGTGACAGTGGGAAAGACAGAGAGGTCAGGAAAGAGGTAGGGAAGCATGAGACGGCTCAGTGCAGCAGTGGCAGGGGAGGAGTAGCGCGCAACTACAGCGTCGTACAAGGTCTGAGCACTCTTGTACTGACTAAAGTGCGCACGCTCAGAGGTAGGGAGGTGGCGACGCACAGCAAGACGTGCAGCAGCATCGCGGGTGGCCCACTGAGAGCGGACAGTGGGATCAGCATCGGCAGCAGGAGCAGGAGAGGCGCCAGAGGTGAGGTCAAAGAGAGAAAGGCTGTCAGCTCTGTCGCACTGTAAGAAAAGCTGCAGGTCGTCTAGCCAGACCTCAAAATCAATGGCTCGACCCTCGGCGTCAAAGGCTAGGACACTAGGGGTGGCCATGATGACGACAGCGAAGCAGTGCAAGCAGTAGGGAAAGAGGGCGCAGTGACAGAGGGACTGTGCTCACCAGGCAGGGCAAGTCGTGCAGCTCAGCAGAAAGGCGGATCGACTCCCGGGCAGCTCGGCAGCTGTGGGGCGGCTCGGGTGCTGCTGGGCGGCTCGGCCGCTGCTGGGCGGTCCGGCTGCTGCTGGGCGGCTCGGCTGCTGCTGGGCGGCTCGGCTGCGGCTGGGCGGTCCGGCTGCTGCTGGGCGGCTCGGCTGCTGCTGGGCGGTCCGGCTGCTGCTGGGCGGCTCGGCTGCTGCTGGGCGGCTCGGCTGCTGCTGGGCGGGCCGGCTGCAGTGCAGCGGCGGGGCCTGGACAGAGGCCGGCGGGGCCGGGACAGGTGCAGTGGCGGGCCGGGAAAGGTGCAGCGGCGGGCCGGGACAGGTGCAGCGGTGGGCCGGGACAGGTGCAGTGGCGGGCCGGGACAGGGGACGGCGGGGCCGGGTGTGCAGTGGCGGGGCCGTCAGGGTGCAGCGGCGGGCCGTCAGCAGGTACAGCGGCGGGCCGTCAGGGTGCAGCGGCGGGCCGTCAACAGGTGCAGCGGCGGGCCGTCAGGGCTCAGCGGCGGGCCGGGAAGGTGCAGCGGCGAGGCCGGGAGAGGGGACGGCGGGGCCGTGACAGGAAACGGCGGGGCCGGCAGAATGCAACGGCGGGCCGTCAAAAAAGGGACGGCGGGGCCGTCAAAAACGGGGCCCGCGGCCGCGACGAAGCGGCCGCGTGGCCGATTCGAGGGCGGCGGGGCACAGCCGGGCCGAGAGGGCGGCGCGGCGCGGCCGTTAAGCCCGCGCGACGTGGGCCCGAGCCGCGCGCGCAAAAAAAAAAAATTTCGCGCGCTACTCGCGGGGGGCCCACAAAGGCAGCGGGAAATGCACTAAGGGGGAGGGGGGGGAGCGCGCCTCGGGGAGAGTAGGGCGCTCCGGGCAGAGAGAATATCGAGGGTGGGCCCAAAAAAAATCGGTCCTTAAGAGGGACCCGCTCTATACCATGTGAGAATAGGTAAACAGGAATGAAAATGACTAAGTCAGAAATGGTACAAATGGGAAACCTAATTGTGTTGTACCCCTTATGGGATACCCCACTGTAGCCTACACAAACAGGTAAGCTATATGTTCTGACAGACATATCTTCCTATCTACTGCTGCGAATGACATAAAACTTGTCCAGCATGCATAAAATCTATTAAATGCTTGAATGAGCAGAAGAAACCATATTTAAAATTACAAATGGATGTCAATTCGGCACCATTTGTCGCACAGGCCTATCCTTGCACGGTTTTCGTAGCACAATTGTTTAACACAGTATAAACTCCTACATGTTGCTGCGAATGACACCAAACTTGTCCACCATGCTTATAATCTATTAGATGTATGAATGGTTACAAGAAACCATGTACGAATTTATATATGCATGCACATATATATATTTGTGCATATATATAAATGCGAATATATGTATATATGTTACCATAAAAAAATCCCTCAAAGATACAACACATATTACACGTTGGATTCACATTTTCCTACATGAATGATAACCACAGTTTTCAGATACAAAACACTCATGGACCCCACACTGATTAGGTCGTTTGGTGCTTGTGGTCCGAAATTGTGTGTATTAGTGACTATTTGTGTTGTTATTCTTTTGTTTGCAGGATTATGCTCAAGATGAAAATGTGCTGTAAACTGGTAGAACTCTGGCTGAATATATGTCTACTATGTGAATGTTGTGACACTGTTGCGACTAAACAGCAACACTCACATTTGTCGAGCTGGCACTCATCATCGCTAAAATCGCGGTGCGCCAGGTGCTTTATGCTTCACCAACGTCGCCAACGCACATCCGGATTCCAGCACGAGTCCACCCAATTGCTCCCAGCAAATGACATTCGTCTGTATAATGTGCGTCAGCACATTTTTTGCATCACGTGAGGTTACTATCGCCACTTCACCAAAAGGCCCACATTCTACTGGTCCGCGTGATGCGCTGGTGCCAGCCTCAACAAAACACCCCCGTCCAATTGGTCCGAATGATCCGATGGTGACAGCGGTGGTTGTTTGCAAGTTTTTGTTTGAAGTTTTCATTAGTTTCTGACCGACACACGATGGGTTTGTCTTGCTATTTAATGGAATCCAAACGGTACACACGCAGCCTTAGGTTTCACGTCAGTATTTTTTTCCGATGACTTTTTTCGTTTTGTCTACTCGCAGCCAACTCCACTCCCTCCCCCATTCCCCATTCTCCACTCCACTCCCTCCCCTTTCTCCTCAAAGCCCAAGAACACTCCTCCCCCCCCTTACTTTCTACCACGTGCCTGTTCTTTTTAGCAGGCTGCCTGCCAGCCAATTTTTCCTGCTCTGTGAATGTGTCTGGCTCACTCGTTCGGAGTTCACCCCGTTCCTTAGCTTTGTCGACTCCAGAACGACGCACTCTGTCGACGCTCTTTCCTACCCCCCTTCAGCAAATTCCTGTCCACCCCGGCTGAAGCACCCCGTCGACGCTCCGAGAAGCACGCGACGACGAACAGGGTCACCTGCTGAATCGACCGACAGTCGCCTTTCCACTCCTGCCACAATCATTTTACACTATTCAGCTGCTTCTGGTTTTCCGCTTTGTCTGGTTTCCGCTTTTGTTCCTTGTTTCTGGCCCATATGTCGTGTATGCACAGTACAATGTTCGTTTTGGACGCCTTACTTACGGTTGTCAGTTTATATTACGATTTTGTTCTTTACTGGATTCTTTTTTGTTGGCATTTGTACAGGCCCTGGAGATGGAACGCCGATATAGAAATTCTGCCAAAGCATGGTAGGGTTATCCCCACCCGCTTCCTCTGCATGTGACTCTCGTAGTTACCCAGTCACGCAGTCAGCTACTCTTGAATGGTTAGGCGTCTACTTCTTGGATGTTCTTTTGCAGGTTGCTTATTATTCAATCAGCCTCTGTAAAGATTATGGTGAAGCTGTAATTAAGGTTTTCATTTTTTATTGTTATCTGACTGTCATCTCTCTTGTTGTGCAGCACTTTTCAAAGTTAGTATTTTCCCTAGGCGTCGTGGAAGTAACAGCCAGCTACTTCTGCCGTGTTTTGCATTTGTTTTTTTCTCCTGGATGTTTTGCAGGTAGCTTATTTTTCACCCAGAGGCTGTGAAAGAGTTTGGTTGAAGCTGTAAGCAAACTCTCCAATTTTGCTTCTGTTTTTGTTCTCTGACGTTGCTCTTATTGTGCATCTCCTAGTTCCGTATTGACCCCTAGGTGTCGTGGATGTAACAGGAAGCTAGTTCCTTAAGATGCTTGTTTACAATTTATGTGTTATGTAAATCAAGTGTTGTGTGTACATCTTTTCATTGTGATGGTGATTTGAAACGTGCTAATAAAAAGCGAAATGAAAAGCATGAATAGCATGGCTGATTTATAAAAATTGTGTTTTGTACTGAAATTATTTTATACGTTTCAACTACCAACGTATTAGAGACTTTTCTTAACCCTACATATTTTCCGCAAGTGTTACTACTACGAGCTAACTCGGTAACATTTGAACGTTTTATCATAATTATACAAGCTTTTTTCAGAATCACTGTACCGAATTGTAACCAATTCGTAACCGAGAAACATAACTGCTGGCATGACAAAATTAGAAGGAAGAAAGAGGATTGAACTAGCAAGAATGAGGATACAAATAGCAAACCTTAGAAGGGTTGTACTCGCTATAGAGCACCCCACTACAGGCTAGAACAATAAGATAATATTCTGACATGGCATAACTTTCAAGCAAGCTCGCTATCGTTTTCGTTTTAGATTGTTAGACGAATCCGATTGGCTTGCGACTGTCAGTACGATCATAAAGCCGCGAATAGGTGCAAGACACGTGTCCTGGAATGTTCTTGTCATGTTCATAGCTACCCGAGAGTAGCTTCGAGAATCTGGCGAAGTGCGGTCCATATTAAATTTCAATGTTGTGTACAAGCAAAACCACAATGAGAGTTACGCCGAAGTAGCTTCATCTCCTTCGAGATGTGCGGCACAGATTCATCGCAATTTTTTCCTTGTAATGTCGCAAGCCCAACAGCAGCTTCAACGTAACCTTGCCAGCAACCCCAAGGTAGCACCCTCCAAATCAACCACAGAGCTACTGCAAAGTTGCTTTGCCGTAGCTTTCAGAAGCCCTATTTTTTGCGATGGAGGAGGGGAGGGCGGTGGGGTTGGCAGTGCAGTCAGTGGCAGCAGACCACACGACGTTTGCATTGCAGTGACTGCGGATCACAGGGTCAGGCATCGTGCTCGTGTGCGACAACCAGCACAGGCAACTAGGCCACCCGGCGCCCCCTCCGGACGGCACCCCTGCGCCAGTGCAGTGGCTGGAGCACCTGGAGGTGCTGCTGGTGGTGGCAGGGTCGCAGCAGGTCCTGGTGCTGTGCCGCGCACTGCAGGGCTCCGAGGCTGCTCTGGAGCCCCAGGAGTTTGAAGACACACGCGTGCTCAATGAGGAGCGTGTGTCGCCCGCATCGCTACCTGATCCCGATGCTTCTCCTCCTGCTGCTGATGTTCTTGGTGCTGCTGGTGCTGTTGTTGGTGCTTGCGGTGTGGGAACAGGGTCGGGTGCAGCAGGGGAAGCGGCAAGAGCTGTGGCCGAGGGCGGGGGAGGAAGTGCGGGGGAGAAGTGGCCGACGAGAGTTGGGGGAGGGGCGTCAGCGGAGGAGCAGGGGGGCACAGGGGGGGAGAGGGCAGTGGCGCGGGACATATAGATGACGTTTGGGGAGGAGTTCAAGATGCTGCCCCGGCAGGGCATGGACAGCAGCATGTGGAACTCGTGCTGGCGCGTGCAGGTAGGGAGTGCGGTGGGGAGTGCGGGGAGGGCGGGCAATGAGGGAGGGGCAGGAGCTGAGGTGCACTACCTGCCGTACTTCTGTCAAACACTATATGTGTTATTATTGTGTAGGCTATAGTGGGTTAGCCTTTAGGGGGTACACAAAGTTAGGGTTTCCTACTTGTACTCCAACTTTCATAGTGCAATCACTTCTTCTTTGTAACATGGAATCAGAGCAGGTCCTCCGCTAGGACCGATTCTTAGGGCCCACCACTACTGCTGCTTACTAGCGCCATCGTGCGCCCTACTGTCGGAGCGCCCTCGAGCGCCTCCCCCCCTAGCGCCCTCGTGCGCCTCGTTTTCACGCCCCCCTAAGGCCCCGCGACCCGCGACCCGCCCCCCTTAGCGACCCGCGCGCCGCCCCTTAGAGGCCCCGTCGACACCGCGCGCCGCCCCTTAGAGGCCCCACTGGCCCCGCTTAGAGGCCCCGTCGGCCCCCTAGGCCCCGAGCGCGCCCACCCCTTAGCGGCCCGGTCGGCCCCATCGACCCCACGTGCCGCCCCTTAGCGGCCCCGCTGGCCCCGTCGACCCCGCGCGGCGCCCCCTTAGAGGCCCCAGCAGGCCCCGTCGACCCCACGCGCCGCCCCTTAGCGGTCCCACTGGCCCCGTCGACCCCGCGCGCGAACCTCTTAGAGGCCTCGTCGGCCCCGTTTGCTCCCCGCGCCCACCCCTTAGCGGCCCCGTTGCCCCCCCCCTCAACCCACGCGCCGCCCCTTAGCACCCCGCCGCGACACCCACGGCCCCGCCAAAACGAGCCGCCCGAACCGAGGAGCCCAAACCGAGCCGCCCAGCCCGAACCGAGCCGCCCGAACCGAGCCGCCCAGCCCAAAGCGGCGCACTGCACGGAGTTTTCGCTAGCGGAGGTGCTGCGGGCCACCAACGGCTAGTCGCAGGACAACCTGCTTGGCTCGGGTGCCTTTGGTGATCTCTACAAGGGCGTCTCTCCCCGCGATGGCACCACACCCTGGGCTGTGAAGCGCGCCAAGCACATGGGCGCGGAATTCCAGGGGGAGGTGAGTGCCGCATATGGGGAGATGGCTGGACTACAGACTCCGTCAATCAACATGGGCATAAGACAGCTCGGTTTTCCATTACTTTCAAACAAAAGATGCTTCATCTAAGAATGTGCTATCTATTTTGATCAGGACTATTCAGCTTCCCTAAGCTGAGCGAGCAGAATCACTGTTCCTCCTCTTCTCAACCTACTCTTTCTTTCCTGCCGCCTTCCTCCTGTTCCCGTGTGCCGGTTCTCACTTCCTCCAGGTCATGCAAATGGCCGACAAGAACCATCCCAACATTGTGCGACTGCTTGGGTCTGCGGTGGGAGGGGACGTCAGGTCGAAGATAGAGCAAGTCCTCATCTACGAGTTTGTGCCCAATGGTGACCTGCATAAGTGGATAGGACCAAGTGTGCAAGTCGTTGTGTCGCATTCCCTTGTACAATGTTACTCATGGTAGGCCACTCATGCTGCCTGGTGATGCTTGTCGTGAAATTCATCCCTTGGCTTGTTGCAGATGCACCTTTTTCTCTGAGTCTGAAGCAACGGCTAGACATCCTCATTGGTGTTGCACGTGGCTTTGAGTACCTCCATAGCTTTGACATTGTGCATCGCGACATCAAACCCGCCAACATCCTCATCACCAGCGACATGCAGGCAAGCGCGGTTGCAGCATCTCACACTGCATAACAAGATGCTTCTGTGGAAAGCAACTAGCCACGAGAATTGATAGGAAAAGGCAGGGCTATGCCAAAATTAATTGGTCGTTCTAGTTTGGCTCATCTAGTCTCGCTTTTTATCTAGTTCTACATATGGCTCACGCTTACTTACACGTTCGTGTTTCTTGTGTCTGGACGCAACCAGCGTATGTCGTTTGTTTTGTCACCATTGTTGTTTCATTCTTTTGTGCTGGTGCATTCTTAATATCACATTTATCCAACCACCCATCAGCCCAAGATTGCAGACTTTCGGCTGGTGAGGGTGGAAGAGGGCACGACAGTGGGCACGACTCGAATCATGGGAACACCGGGCTATGTGGATCCGGTTTACAACCGGACTTCCAAGGCCACCAGAGCCAGCGATGTATACAGGTGAGCAAAGAGCCATATAGAGATCATGCTATGTGAGCCAGAAGACTCTGGGAGTTGGCTCAAATAAACAAGACTCCCAAGAATTAAAAGACTGGTAGTAACCTGTCAGATGTCAAACTTGCACCTGGAACAAGCATATCATGGAACACCACTGAAATCCTCAACAAGTTATTTGGATTCTCACAATAGAGTTGTCATATGCATGTCACCATTGCGTTGCTCTCACCATCACATTGCTCTCACCACCTCTCGCACGTTGCAGCTTTGGTGTGCTCATGCTTGTGGTGCTCACTGGATGGGCTTCACTTTTTGAGGATGCTGGGGAGACCAAGCACATCGTGGTGTGGGTAAGTTCCACTCAGGAAGCTCGTTGCATGTTGCCATAATCGCATTCTTCCAATTGAAGAGATATATTTTGCTTCATATGCTGACTGATGTGTATTTCACCTTTACAAACTTGCAATTTTGTCCATCCTGTTCCACTCATTCAGGCATCCGAGTGCTTGTCATCGGGAGGTTCAGAGGGCCTCAAGCACCCCACCATGGACGCCCCTGGAGAAGCTGTGCTGCGCGTGGTTGAGCTGGCAGTGAGCTGCACCGTGGAGAGCACTGCAAGCCGCCCAAGCATGGCACACATTGCCACCCAGCTGCAGGCTGTCAGGGAGGAGGTGGTGGGGAAGGAGGAATCTGGCGCTGCCATCAAGGTGGATGCGCAGGTCCAGGAGATGAAGAAGGATGCTGTTGCGGGTGAGGACAGCCTGGAGGCACAACTTCAAATGATTGCGGATTGGGGCAGCTTCAGCTGAATACCCAGCCTAGGATTGGGATGGGGTTATCGTGGTTGAGTTTTACTTCGGTATTATATGCGTTTCATCGTATGCATCATTCCATGATCCTAACTGTTTGGGGGTCAAGGGACTGCCTTGCTGTTTGTGACAGTTACCTAGCTTCTTTGCTCATTTGACATGGCCAGGGCTGACGTTTCAATTCTTAGGCACTCTAAAGTTCACCTCCAAGAAAAACAGACTTTAAGAACACTTTGATTGGTCAGTGTTCTGAAATCAGAAGGTCTGACCAATCAGGGTCAGCCCAGCTGGTTCGCATCAGGCAACGTCCTCGTGCATCACCGCTGCCCATGTCGGCGTCTTGTCGTTATGAATTGTCGCAAATCATTCGAGTGTCGCATGACCTTTTAGGCATTGTCCACTGATTTTCAGATTACCGTATTACCCCGGATATAACCACACCTGCGCTTATAATAAAACATGATTATTCAAGGGGGTGCACTTATAAATGAGTAAAAAATATAAGCGCATGAGCTTATAAAATAACAAATATACAATTTTTGTTTTTACTAGCACGAAAATGTATATCGCGTCATTGCGCACCCAATTGAGACGATTTGAAACAGGGTTGTGGGTGAAAATCTCTCGCTACTTGGCAAGGAAAGATTCCGTGCTAGCACATACACTCAAACTGAGTCACTAGGCGCTTCTGATAGCATATGCTGACTGGACGCGCATCCTGCAGGGTTTGAATGCGAAGGAAAATTGATTTTCAGGTCATCGCCTTGCTAAAGCGAGCTTTGTTACGGTAGTTTGACAGCTTTTGAAATTTAAAACTAACATGCGCTTATAATAAATCACGTTTTTTTAAGGGGGTGCGCTTATGATTGAGGATCTGCCACAAGCGCATTGCTCCAGATAGAAGTGTTGGATGCACGTCATTCTGAGTGCATGTCATCCTAACGTCCTGCCGAGTGCTCGTGCTATTTGTGCTTGCATGATTTGCATGAGCATATGCCATTATGCATGGCTGTTGGATATTTTCATCTCTGTGTTTTTTCTCTCCAAGTCTAAATGCTTGATCATGCAGGAGAAATCCAGAGCTTTCCAACGATACCAAGATCGCCTTATTCCGACCAAGATCGCCCAAGTTACAAGATTTCCAAGACTTGGATTTCTTATTACCTTTTGGGGTTATATCTAATTTGGGTGATTACTTGGGACATGACTATAAAGGGATCTTTGGTTGGGTGGTTAGGGAAGGCAACTTTGACTTTTGGATTGGGGTGGCTAGAAGTTTCTAGCATGGGTTGCAAATGTTGCAACACCTAGGCAAAATCCAACTAGATTTTATTTTGCATGTGACACCTCAAGGACCTCGTGATGAGGGTTGCATCCTTGCTGCTAGGAAGGTTCCTACCATCCTTCCCTAGCTCTTGGAGAACCCCTTCCCTCTCATGGTTCTCTTGGAGGTTCCCAACTCCAGCTTTTTATGCCTACATGCTTGTAGTTCCCCCACCATTCTAGTTATGCGGCTGCTGAACGTTTTTACATGGTTCTCACTCTCTAGACCATCTTAACGACTGATTCAACTTGGAGATGGTAGCTAAGCCTAAGGCGCACAATCCTACTGAGCGGATTTGCGCTTAGCTGAGTAATGAGCTCGTCATAAGTTCTCAAAGTGACGGATCCTGAACAACAAGAAGCGCATGCGCTTTTAATAGGCCTGCGCTTATATCCGGGGTGATACGGTAGTTAATTTCTTATGACTTGTTCATTCATTGTTGTTGTTTTGAAGGGCTCTTACTAAATGTGTGTGCGGTGTATTAGACTTGGCGTGGCCGCAGAGAAGGGTGGCGGGGCCGCAGTGAGGGCGGCGGGGCCGCAGCAGTTGAGGGCGGCGGGGCCGCAGGTGAAAGCGGCGGGGCCGCAGGTGAGAGCGGCGGGGCCGGAGCAGAAGGGCGGCGGGGCAGCAGTTGAGGGCGGCGGGGCCGCAGCAGTTGA